GCCGAAATTGTAAAATTTTCCCCGTTTTAATTGTAGTTATGTACACAACACAAAATCACTTAAGGTCTAACCACATAATGCTTAATCTATTACTTAGAACAAAATCCTTACACTCTGTACAGACTACTACTACAATTCGGCCGTCCTGACATTTAGAATCCCCTGATTCTACGCCGAAATACTTTCTGCTATGTATCTGGCCTATCTCTGGACTCGTCTCTTTGAACCCCGGACTTTTTACATTGGTACCATGGTTTGAGGTTTGTCACCGACCAGGTGCCTTTATATGGTATCTGCGATTGCTGAAATCCCTCTACGTCTTCCACTAAGTAGCGGTCGTTTTCTAAAATCTTAGATACTTTGTATGGTCCCTTAAACTTGGGGATTAACTTACTGGACGCTCCTACTTGTGAATTAAGGTTAGAAATTACTACATAGTCTCCTACCTTGAATTTATGCGGTCTTCGCCGCTTAGCGTCTGCATAACTTTTGTTATAATCCTGTTCTTTTCTTTGCTCTTTTTCTACCCGACTTCTAATGTCTTCTATAGTCCTGGTATTTGTTTGTATCAGATCTAGAACATTTTCTTTCAAACTATCTATGACTTCCCCTCTTTGTGTTACGCCGAACAGTACTAGGCTAGGTTGTTCTTTGATTGCCATGTGAACCGTGTTATTCATTGAGTATTCTACCGATTCTAAAACTTTTTCCCAGGTCAAATCATTTTCTGGGTTCACCATTTTCGCTATCATTGGTCCTAGGCTTTTGTTAACGATTTCTACCTGACCATTCGCTTGGGGCGAATTCGTTGCTACCTTTATATGCTGTACGCTGTTATTTTCTAAAAACTCCTCGAATTCTTTGGATGTGAAGCAGGTTCCTCTGTCTGAAACTATACATTTTGGCCTACTATAAGCTCTAAAATAGTCTTTAAGTGACGCAATTGCCTCCTTTGACGCGGTCATCTTTGCTGGATATAAGCGTACGAATTTTGTGAACGCATCTACTATCGCTAATATGTGCTTATACTTCGTATTCTTACTATTAATCGGTCCGTAGTGGTCAACATGTACCATTTCGAATGGCCGGTTTCCTTTGGGAATCATATTCAAAAATCCCTCTTTTTTCCCACTTTTGTTAGAGAACGCTATACATTTTAAACAATTCCGTATATGTTCTGCCGCCTTTTCTCTCATGTTGGGAAACCAATAACTTTTACCTACAGTCTCGACAACCTTATCTATGCCCGTATGCCCCATCTCGTCATGGTATTTATAGAATACATGTTGTTCCATAGAATCCGGAACGTAGAAAAATAGGTCATTGCCTTTTTTCCTATAAACTATGCCATTTCTCATTTCGTAGTGGCTATTTTCAGTTGTTTCTAAAGTTTTCCTTATTTCTGTTATGCGTTCATCCCTACTTTGACATATTATTAAATTTTTCTCAAACGTGTTCGTATGTATAACTAAAACATTGTTAACTCTGCTTAAAGCATCGACGTGGTGCATTCTTTTGCCTATTCTATGCTCAAGCTCGTAGTCGAAGTTTTGCAACTCTAGCGCCCACCTGGCAATTCTCGGATTAATATCCTTCTTATTAAGAGTAAGTGTCAATGAATTGCAATCGGTAACAATTTTGAACTTGATACCTTGTAAATACACTCGAAACCTTTTTAGTGCGTAAATTATTGCTAAAGTTTCCAGCTCAAAACTGTGATACCTAGATTCTACGTCCGTTGTGCGCTTGGAAAAGTAAAATACTGGGTGTAACTTCCCGTCTTTTTTCTTTTGGAGCAATATTGCTCCGAAGCCTAAAGCACTTGCGTCGCAATGTAGTTCTGTTATATCGTTAGGTTCGTATATTGCCAGCACCGGGGATTCCACCAACTTTTTTTTGAGGCTATTAAAGGTTTCTAACTCCATTTCACCGAACTGAAATTTCCTATCTTTTTTCGTGAGGTCATAGAGGGGCTTAGCAACAGTTGAAAAATCCTTAATAAACCTGCGAAAATATGAGCACAGACCAAGAAAACTCTGGACTTCTTGAACTTTAGTCGGAACTGAAAAATTTTCAATGGCTTTTAACCCTTTTCCGTCAGCTTTTATACCTTCATTCGTTATCACATAGCCTAGGTACGATACTCTCGATTGTAAAAACTCACATTTGTCTAACCGTAGCTCTAAACTATTTTGCACTAACCTTATGAAAACTTTCTGTAAAATGTCTAAATGCTGTTCAATACTCTGCGTTGCGATCATGATGTCGTCGAGGTATATGATAACCTCCCCACTTCGAATCATGTCTGCGAAAATTTTATTAATGAATTTCTGAAAGGTTGCTGGAGCATTTCTCAGTCCGAACGGCATCCTAAGGAATTCATATTGCCCTAGTGGCGTCGTAAAAGAGGTGTATTTTGTAGAATCTTCGCTCATAAAAACGTTAAAAAATGCATTCTTAAGATCTAGTTTGGTGAAAATTCTTTTGTTCACTAGCCTGTCTAGTAAGTCATCTATAAGTGGTATGGGGTAACTGTCTTTTGACGTAACTTTGTTTAACTTCCTGTAATCAACGCACATCCGTAATTCTCCTGTTTTTTTCTTTACCAATACTATTGGCGATACAAACTCTGACTCACTAGGCCGTATGTACTCCTTTGCTAAATATTCGTCTATTATTTTCTGCAGTTCTTGCTTCTCGTTATACGATAATCTTCTAGGGTTACAACTGAACGGCTTATCACTTTCTAACACTAATCGCATTTCCTTTCTTACCATAGGTCTAGTCGGTCGTTTGGAGTTAACATACGTTCTACTGAAAATATCACAGAAGCGTTTTCCATCGCTGTATTCTACCTCTTCACCAATTTTGTAACCTGTTTCTTCGCCTTTATCATTATCGCTTCTTATATCTATTGCTAAAATTTGACTAACGAACTCATCATACACTTCACTACTTTCATTTGTTCCCACTACTTTGTCATTATCTTCGGCCTTATACATTTTCTCAACTTCGCTACTTTCATTTGCAACCATCACTTTGTCTTTGTCTTCGGGAATATACATTTTATCAACTTCGTTGAATTTACTACTTCCAGTTGAAACAACTAATTTGTCTTTATCTTCAGCCTCATGCACTTTCTCAACTTCGTTAACATTGTTTTCAACATCTACTTCTACTGTCTTATCCATAAATTCAACATTGCCAATTTTTAATTTTGCGTCGCACTCATTTATAAAGTTCCTCCCTAGTATGACCGAATAACTAATTGACTCATTGGGAACCACCAGAAGTTCAATTAACACTTGTTTATTCAAAACTTTAACATAAACTTTAATTTTTCCATACACTTTTAGAAATGATTTATTTAATCCATAGTAGCAACTCTGCACTTCTAATATCTGCACCCTTGTTGGAACCAAAGCTTGTTTAATTAAACTTATAGGGCTTCCGGAGTCAACTAGGCATTCTACGAACATTACAGAATTAGATTCGGTTATGATACTTAAACTAAAATAACTTACAAAATTGTTTTCTGCTGGCGTCTTCTTATAATGCTTGCAGTTAGGTGCGTAGTGTCCCTGCTCTCCGCATGCAAAGCACGATCCGGCCTCCCGTTTCGGTTTTTGGCACTCCTTGGCATAGTGACCCGTACAATTACAATTATAGCATCTCAGTCTATCGCCCGTTCGAACGTTTGCAGTAGTTGTTGTTGTTGCTGTTGCCTTTCTAGGCGGTGGTTGTGGTAGTGTAATTGAGCAAAATGCCCTAACAACTTCGCTCGCCGTTGAAAAATTTTGTAGCTTAGCTTGGATGCGCAGTTGCCCGTCTGGTATGCCTTCGACTAAATAATCTGCTAATTCGCCGTCGCTAAGGTTTAGTCCACTGCTAAGAACGCACTTGTCGTTGAAGTAATTTGGGAAGCTTTCATCAGATGACCACATACGTTTTTCGAATTTTCGCCGTTTCTCGAATTTGTTTTCATATGATGCAAACACTGATTTCATTTCCTTCAACAGCTCATCAGTGTTTTTTGGAAATGTTGTTTTTGCGTTGTACCAAGCTAAGGCTGCACCTCTCAACTTTAAATGAACAACAACGCCCATTGTAGCATCGTCCACGTTAAATACGTCCCGGTAGTGAAGCAGTTGCTTCTGCCAAGCGTTAAAATCGTCGCCACCCTCGTATTTCGGAATAATTTCCTTCAGCATCTCGAAAACATTATTTGCGCCTTTTTCTTTGCTTGTGCTGACCGCCATTTGGTCTTTTTCCAACAACCGTTTTTTTAACTGTAGTACTTCTAGTTCTTTCTGCACCAACTCTAACTTGAGCTGCTCCATCTCTACGTTGTCTCGCTCACACACAGATTGATTCGGCTCGTTATGCGGTTGCTCATTGTCTTTGTCCAAACGGTCTCCAAATGTACCGCTACGTACACTAGCCACGCCACTTTGTACAAACACTATATCGTCGTCGTTATTAACCTCTTTTAACGCACCGTTGATAACCTCTTTTGACGCACCGTTGTTGACTTCTTTTGACGCACCTTTGTCTTTCCTTTGCCGCTCAACCTTATCTTTGCTCGCAACGTTTTCTTTGTCCGTAACGTTTTCTCTACCACTGCTCGCTCCATCTTCCGCCCCATTGTCTTCGCCCGGGCAGATTCCTCGGGCTTCTGCCGATAATTCGTTCAGTCTAGCAGCTAGCGACGCCTTTGCGCCGCTTGCGTTGACACCAACAGCAGCGCACCAGCTTTTCAATTGCAGAAGCGAGTACTTCTCAGAGTTAACTCCTTCGGACTCCATACTTTGTTCTTTTTGTAGGAATGGTTCTAACGACCACTTCTGATGAAATATGCACGCACCTTTGGTCTGGAAAATATCCTCTTACTTTGCTGCTCCAAGTATGTAAATGTGCACGTACTCCAAAATTATAGTTGTACACGTACTCCAAATTGTAGTTGTGCTGTACTCGACGTTTTAGCAAAATATATACTCACTGCAAATGGTGTTTTAAATTACCAAAGACTTCACGGCTTCGCTATTCGATCCAAAGTGATATTTATTTCATGTTATTTTCTGACAAGCATTCTTACAGTTATCCTTACGGTAGAAACACATAATCACTTAAGGTCTAACCACATAATGCTTAATCTATTACTTAGAACAAAATCCTTACACTCTGTACAGACTACTACTACAGTATGAATGCATTTAGTTCACCCAATGTGCCGCTACTACTTACATACATATGTATAAATTGCCACACGGTCAAAAATTTGGGTTTACGCGCTGGAACTACTGCCTTTTTTAATTTTTTATAGTCTACTATTTAAACCAGTCAATAGTTTTAAGCAATTTTTAATATGTTCTGGTTTAAATTTTAGTCGAAAAAGTTCGTGGTTTAAAACTCAAACCAAAATGTTTTAATTCTAGTTTCTAGGTTTCATATATAGAAAATTTGGTTAAAAATCTAAACCAAAATATAAAATGTTTGCACATGAAATGTGGTGTTGATTCAAACTCAACATATGAAAGCACATTTACAAGCGTGGCTGTAACTGAGTGTGCAAAAATGCTTGATACAATTGGTTGCTTCCAAGGCTGTCCGGGTTCAATCCCCATCAGACAGAGCATGAAATTTAAGGTCTTTTTTTTATTCTTAATTAAGAAAATGTTTGGGTTTAAAATTTAAACCGAACTGTTTAAATTCTAAACCCAACATAGGTGCTCTCTTTTTTTAGTCTTGGAAGGTTTGTATTTGAAACTGAATTTAGTTTGGTCATATATTTATGTAGTCCAAAAAGTTTAAAATTAAAACCGAAACTTTTAACCGTGCACTGAGCAAAACTACTTGAGAACAAGTAAGAAAGTCTAAGTTCGGGCGGAGCCGAACATTAAATACCCGGCGCAAGTATTAAATATATGTTTTCCACCTTTCCGAAAGCTACCGCTACATGATAAGCCGGGGTGTATACATTTTAAGTAAATTAGCGTCCTTAAATTTCGAAATATTGAAATTTCAAGCATTTCTGAAATTTACCGTTATATGAAAAGCGGTCTCAATTTTAGTCCGATTTCAATAATTTTCAATGGTTTGCTTTTATGTGGCAAGCACAATAACCATACCGAGCTTGGTACAAATTGCTAGAACGGTTAGCGAGATCCATATATGTGATCACAAGTGGGCGGTGCTACGCCCATTTTCCAAAATTTTGTCATAAACGTATTTCCTGGTAAAGAATTGTTGCAACCATCAATTTTGAATAAATTAGCTTCAATATTTACTGATTTATCGAAAATTTTGTATTTCTCGAAATTACCGTTATATGGGATGTGGGTGTAGTTATTGTCCGATTTTAGAAATTTTCGGCCATTTGGTATGCTGTACCAGGACCAACAATTGTGCCAAGTTTGGAAGAAATTGGTGCAGCGGTTACCAAGATATACACATGTAACCATAAGTGGGCGTGGCTACGCCCATTTGCCAAAATTTTGTAATATTCTTATTTTTCGTCTAAAACTCATTGCAAATATCAATTTTGAGTGAATTATCTTCAGTAGTTACTAAAATATCGCAGTTTTCGTTTTT